CAACAACAACAACATATAAATGATGTAGATGCATGAAATGATACACTCTGTCTTTACTTATGGTCCGCGCTGCCTACAAATAAATGGGAAAGGTAGCTACACCTTCTGCCGACATACGGGCGAGAGAGGCGACCATACCCGCCGCATGTAGCACACACCCACATGTCAGTGATGAAACCCCAACCACACGCCTCTATCGGCNATAAATGATGTAGATGCATGAAATGATACACTCTGTCTTTACTTATGGTCCGCGCTGCCTACAAATAAATGGGAAAGGTAGCTACACCTTCTGCCGACATACGGGCGAGAGAGGCGACCATACCCGCCGCATGTAGCACACACCCACATGTCAGTGATGAAACCCCAACCACACGCCTCTATCGGCGGCCACGGCAGGAGGCAATGATGAGATATGTTCTCCCGCGCCGCACATGCCCCCATACATCACACACAAAATATAAGTTGATGACGAAAATGTACACACCCTGAGACGCGCTTGCTCTGCAACCACATAAGAGTGCTATAATAGAACACCCGACAAACCGAGTTCCCCTAAAACTTCCGTCTACAACTTCCCAACGTAACATACAGATAGATACACAAGATGACTACCAAACTGCCTTGTTGAGCCTGTTACCCACAGGGGAGTTATCGTTGTATGCTGTCCGGGAAACCGTAGACATACAGGTAGCCTTTCGCTCATGCTATGGATTCATTGCTAATCTATCTTAGACTTATTTCTATAGATGGAGATGGATTTGTTGTGTGATACTAAGAAAAAAAAATTGCCCTGCCCAGGGCGCACCTTTAGACGCATGTACCGCCACCATTGACCCCGGGGATGGTGCGTTCTGATCCCCTGAAGTGTAAGGAAACTTCCCCGCGTTAAGGAATCATTTTTCGAAACAAAACCATATGTTTCCTTGAAGCGGGGTCGACTGTACTTCTATCGTTTGTCATTGACTCCCCCTTGGTACTCTCGGTGGTGGATCAACCGAGCTGTGTCGGCCAACGTGGGACCGGCAAACACTGGGCGTCAATGCAGAAAATCACCCTGAAGGAAGCGAAGCGATATATGCATTGGACTATTCTTTGGTATAGATTGGGGCTGTTTCTTCGCGATAAGCGCCTCGCGTGAAGCTCAGACCAGGCGACAAATGGTCTCCCTCTCGAGCATATCCCCTCTATGAAGCAGCCAGCATTCGTCCGTGCTCTCGGCAGCATGGCCTGCAGCAACCATCATCTACATGCAAGAGAAGTGGGGAGCGTCGGGGAGACAGAGACAGCATCGCCAATACAACTCAACACTGACACACAAGTCGTGAGCAGCATTATATCGGCAAGGATATATACTGATCTCGTAGGGCGATAAGAAGCACACCTCCACTTCTGCTGCGCGTGCAGTACTGCTGAACAAATACTCTGCGTCTGTGTCTCCGGAAAAACTGACTAGTACTGCTGTCTGCCCGTGCCCCCTTTCACCTCGTTGTCCAAGGAGTTCTCCATCTCTCTTCACCACGACAGTGGCTCCCAGGTCAATGCTCGAAGAACGCGCTTTAGACTTGTCTGCCATAGCGATACGGCGGCTGTACCAACAAAGCCAGCAAGTACTACGTAGCTGTGTGGCGGTGTGCGGTGTGTGGTGGTGACGAACACACCGCGGTCTTCGTAGATTGTTCGTAGATGCGGCGCAATTACGTACATACATCAATCGCCATCAGTTGTCCTCCCAGCGCCGTAGACAACAGCCCGCAGCTACCGCGTGCATCGCTCACACAGGAACACGACGCCTATGCTGATACTTGCAAGAACATTCCGCCTCAGTGTGTTGGCCTTTCGAAACAGCGAAATCTCGAAGACCTCTTCGTTCGCGCTGCTACGCCCCACGCTCTCAACAGCGGTCACCCTCGCACCTCCGTGTGGTATCTCGCACAGCAGCTGCCGCAGCACTTATACAACAAGGCTCAGCATGTCAGATGACACTGGCGGTGGACGTGTGATCCGGCCGCGTGTCCCTGTGAGCTCGGTCACGGCATTCGGGCAGGGCCTGGGGCAGCAAGAACTCCAGGTGGGGGAACATCAAGGCTGGGAATGACGATCTCTTGATAGCTGTTGACTGCTGCTGACGCTCTTGTGCAGGCACAGCGTAGTCTACACCCGGGTGGGTACGCGCAAGTCGGCACAAATATAGCAAGGTGTGCGACTTCAGGGTCACTGTTTCATTGTGTACGTGGTAGAGCGGCGCCTACAGCGGCAGGCCAGGGTTGAACGGTCAGGACTGCTGTTGGTGTAAAGTAGTCTGCGTCCATATTTCCATGCTCAGAAACGTCCCCAAACGCTTGCGTTCGGCGGTGTTCCTCGGATATCGTGCGTTCTGAGACGCACGTCCAACCGAGAGGCGTGTTGAATGAAAATCGAGGGAGCGGGGGGCGGGGGGCACTTGTGTTGATCTCTTTCTGCAAAGCTTATCTCACGCGGGAGTCCTTGACATACATGTCGTTGCTTTACCTGCTGTCTGGTGCGTCTATTGGCTCGTCCCTCTGTAATGGTTGGAGTGTTTCACTGCAACACTCACACAGGCGCAACCCTTTACCTGGCACAAACATATCCGTTAAACCTCTGTGTGAAATAAAGACAAATACACAGCGTTGGACCCCAGCAGCCCGGTTTCTCTTTATCTGCTGCGTGGTCGGGGGTAGTATCATAATGTTGAGCCGGGGCACGCCCGGGTGTATGGGGAGGGAGGGCACACGGTTGCGTGCGGGACGAGGAAAAACAAGCGATTGTTGTCACCGTTGTTATCCCCTTTCCAGCCAAAAACATTGTTTCGATCGCCGGTGCGGCTGGTATTGCTGTCTGCTAGTTGTTTTTGGTAGTCTTGAACGTTTCATTGGATTTTTCATCCCATCCCGACATTGCAACATCCAATTGTCCTGTGACGACAAAGCTAACTGTTGTGTGCCGTGGCGCACACACCCCGTTGTCGATTCCTCTTCTTTTTTTTTTCGTTGGGTACATCGCCGCTCCACATTGCACACAGTCCCTCGGCAAGGAGATGGAAGTGTCAAACGAGGGTGAGCGGCTTGTGTTTCCCTTCGTGGGCAAGCTGTATGACGTCTCCAACGCCGCTTTGTTCTACGCGCACAACGGGCGCCTGGACGCAGCCCAGGAGCAGCTGAAAGGTCAGTGAGAAACCTCGTAACCGTTGGCAGACCGAAGTTGGTGTTTCGCTTCCAACAGACCCCCCAAGGTAGGGACGATGCCATCCTTATCTCCTTGGGTTTTAATGTCTTGCCCCACCTCAACTGCTTGCCCACCCCCCCCCCTATGGGAATGAAATAAGAAGGTATTGAAAGAACTCGAGGCGGTGCAGATGAAAGCAGCGAAAATCATCCTAGGATGCTCCAAGCGCACAAGTAATGCAGCCGTCAGGGCAGAATTGGGGATCCAATCCCAACGGTCGGGAAGAGACGCGAGGAAGCTAACATTACAGTATCGTGCGGGATGGGAGAGGAGAGGTTGCCGAGAATCGTATGGGAGGCGAAGTGGGCAAACAAACAGAGGGGTAGGCAACCCACGGAATGGGTCAAGGTTGTAGAGGACGTATGGAAGGGGCTCGACATCGACGAAGATGAAACGCTGGAAACGGAGGGTCTACAGGGGTTCAAGGAGAAGATATCTGTTGCTTGTGCCGAGAGAGAAGAACAGAATCTGAGGAAAGAATCCAAGGATAAGGAGGGTCTAGAAGTGTACGGAATGTTGAAGGAAGGAATAGGGTTCAAGGACTACCTACATGGACCAA